GACCAAAGTCAGGTACCAAGAGTTACAGTATCTGCTTATGTGTTCTGCTGGGACACCAGTGAGGAAATCTCACTATGTAACAGTCTCCAGGGGGAGAAGACCAATAATTTCCTGAAAACTTCGGAGGCCTCTCTTGGCAGCAGGTTTGATTGACAAGGACCAGGCGAGCGAGAGCAAGGGGGCGGGGCTGGGGTCCAAGGGCCCAGGAGCAGACAAAGGGGTTTCCGAGCGGCGGGGAGGGGAAGGACCCTTCGTGGCGGACTGGCGGCGGCGCTCCGTGAGGTCTCTTTCGCATGCGGGAAAAGGGCTGGCGATCCGGGAGGACCGGCCTGGCGGGAGGCTGGGGGCCGAGGAGGGGCGTAGAGGGGGCCCGGGACGGGTGGGGGCTGCGCTGTCACGTGGCCGTCGCAGCTGCAGCGGGTTTGGGGCTGTTCTTCCGGGTTGGAGGCGCTCCGCCGCGGGCCGAGCCCTCGTCTGCCAGCGCGGCGGATCGTTCTCCCGCAGCCAGGGGCTCGCAGCCCGCAGCCCTCGCCCGCCGCCGGCCCTGCCCTCGCCCGCCGCCGGCCCTGGTGAGCGTGGGGGCCCTGCGGTGCCTGGGCTGAGCTGCCGAACTGCGGCCAGCTCGGACCCCCGCCCGGGGGCTAGGAGACCTGTCAAAGAGCGGGAGGGAGGCGCGGTTCGCAGAGTCCGGGGAGCAGGTGCCTAGGTTCCCGCAGGCAGGAGGCTGGTGGGGAAGAAGGGCCTCCGGGGTCTTTCTTGTGCCGAATTGGGGCGACATGGAAGGGAGTGGAACGGTGGATCCCGGGAACTCGATCCCCGGAAAGGACAGGGAAAGAGGCGACAGCTGTGCAGGTGCGGATCTTGGAGCTTGGGGTAGGGGTAGGGGGTAATGACAGCAAAAGTCGTACTTGATCATTTCGGTCTCAAGAGGAGTTGGAAGAGAAGGGTCATAGAGGACTTTCAATGGTGGTGCTCCTGAGAAGGGCAGCTGGATGCCCTTAATTGTACTTGAACCTTGAGAGGGTTTGGGCAGGGTGCCAGGTTGAATACTTAAGGAGAGGGTGTAAGGGGTGGACTGGTGGTGTTGGGTGCCAGTTTCTGCAAGGCCAAGAAACGGGTTTGGACTGGCCAGGAGGGAGAAACAACAGAGGGGGCGACCTAGCAGAGCTGGTTTCTACTTAAGGGGCAGAATGACTGCTATGTAGTCTGAACCAATAGGCTTCAGGGTGGTTATAAATAGCGGTCCAGTGCACGTGCCAGCGGGCAGCAGTTTAGTTGTTGAGGGAGGGGCAACACCTGTGACAGGGGCCATGGCACCAGTGGCTTTGGGTGAGCTCATACAACTTGCCAGGCAGAGCTTGCCTGGGTAGGGTACTGTGTCCTTGTGATATGTCTAGCTTTAAAAAAACATGACTTTGTTTATACTTGCAGGTGTCCTTTATTCACCCTGTGGTGCTGGACAGTCAGTAGGAACCCATTTGTGAGGAGTCCTTGTAAGATCAACATTTGGAGGGGTGGGGCTTACTTGCCTAACTGCAGTCCTTTTATTTGCAAACATTGGCTATTTATTATTATTATTTTTTTGGGGGGGATTTTGAGACAGTGTCTCAGCACTGACTGGCTTCGAACTTATTGTATAGTTCAGGCTGGCCTTCAACTTGTGTTGATCCTCTTGCTTCAACCTCCCCAGTGTTGGTGGTACAACCTCTAGCCACCACGCATGGTTCCATTTCTTTCTTTGTTATTTATTGAAAAGATGACTTAGAATTACCTTATTTATCAGCAAGGCTGATTATGTTTGCTGATAGGGTCAAGTTTCTACAAGGCTACACAAAAATTTTATTTTCATAGGAAAATTTGTGAAACTTTCAGAAATCAGTTGCAGGATGTGTTTTGTGGGTTCCTAGGCTTCGGGTACCCAGTCCTAGTTACTTAACTATTCATTCAAAAAATATTCATTGACTTAGCCTCTTTAGTACAAAGCACTGGGCCAGGGTGGAGTGAAGAGAGCAGCTAATCGGGATATTATGTTCTTTTAATCCTCTCCATAACCCTATGATCAGGGCATTTTGTTATTTTCATCCTCAAAACTGCACGAGACAGTTTTTATTAGTATTCCCATTTTAAAGATGAGGAAACCAGGTACAGAGGAATTTACTGATTGGCTAAGGTCACTCCTAATTTCGGGAGGGGCTTCCAACCCAGTGTTCACTCTCAGCCTTTTCCTTTGCTAGGTCAGGTGCTTGCCCTGGAGGAAGGCAAGCCCTCTATTAAGGGAGGGCTGGGGATGTAGCACAGTGGTGGTGCTCGCTTAGCGTGTATGAAGTCCTGCATTCAATCCAAAGTACCACATACAGATACAAATCTTTGGGACTTAGTTATCCTCATAACTACACTGAACAGCCTCATGAATGCCATAGTTAAAAAAAATCTTTTTCTTTTAAATTTTGAGTTAAAAAATGGATGCAAGACTGTGGAAGCACATGGATGATCAGATAGCAGAGAACTTTGGGGTGAAGATAAGGAAAAATGTGACCCTTATCTTTGAAGTAAACATGCTATGGCTAAAGATAATATAGGTCAAATATTTTCTGAATACTTTTTAGAATATATACTTTATTTAGGCAAGTGAAATGGACATGTTATGACCAATGATAAGATAGGTCAAATATTTTCTGAATACTTTTTAGAATAATATATACTTTATTTAGGCAAGTAAATGGACTTTTCTTGCCAATAAACTACCTCCTGATCTTTGCTCTATATGTTTAAAACTTGAATAAAGTTTTTTTTTTTTTTTTTTTTTTTTTTTTTAAAATTTTTTTTTTTTTTTTAAGAAATTGGCCTTTGAAGTCCTTGGTCCTACTGATGTCTGATGCCTACCAGACATCAACATCAAATTACTTCAAATTTTTCCAAATTGGCAAAGCAAATTTTTCTGATTCCAGGCCATGACACAAGATTTAAGTGTTACAACATTGCAAAAATCTTACCTACTCATATAACTATTAGAGCCTAAAAGAGCCCTAGGAAGGTGCTCTTTTCTGCTACTTTTACAGATGGGCAGACTGAAGTTCAGCGAGGTTCAGATCAATCTGGAAGTGGCAGACTTGGACAATACAGGGTTTCTATTAGAGTCAGCTGCATCCATTTACTGAGTTCTGGGAAGGCTTCATCAGCCCATTGAGAACAGTGGTTGGTGGGGAGCTGGGATGATCTGAGAAAGTCAGATGAAGAGCTTGGGAATAGGAGTAGATATTCAGTAATGGTAGGAAAGAAAAATTTCCCTCAAGATAAGCATTAGCTTTGACATACCTTTGTAGCTCCCTCAGTTCTTTCTTGCTATAGATTCAATGAATGCTCTGAATTTGTGGCTGAATTTTGAGCTCATTTGCTTTGCATTCTCTGCCATAAATAACTCTTAAATGTGACCCATGAATGAGTGAGGAGGATATTTATGAGGCTTGGGATGCTTTAGGACCAAAATGGAGTGACACGTGGGAAGATTGTGCAAATATAAAACCATTTATTAAAATGTAATGGGTTGCCGGGCATGGTGGTGCATGCCTTTAATCCCAGCACTCAGGAGGCAGAGGCAGGCAGATCTCTGTGAGTTCGAGGCCAGCCTGGCCTACATAGTGAGTTCCAGCCAGCTGAGGCTACAGGGAGACCCTGTCTCAAAAAGACCCCCCCCCAAAAAAGTAGTGGGGTATTTCATATACCTTTTGAGTTGGGTGGCTGAACAAATCGTGCTTGGTTTTTCTTTGGTTTTATTCTTTGCGTCTCAAATGTCTTTTCATTTTCTCAATTAAGGAACACGATTGTCTTCTTCGATCCATCAAAAAACTCTAAAGTTGGGTTACTCTGCTTTACAGTTTGGTTCTACAAGTGCTCCTGAGAGCTGTGCCACCCAGATTCTGTCTTTGGATCATGCTTGTTAAATTAAAGGGCATCTAATTAATAAACTCTTGGATTGAGAATTTCCATTACCACTATTTCTTTTTCATATTTTAATTAAAGAAATGTCTTTAGGAAGTTGTGATAACAGCTCACATTTAAAATAGCCAAATCCTTCTTCCTCTGGTGCCTCAAAGAGTGTTTAAAGAGTCTGCCTGGAGAGATGGCTCAGCTGTTAAGAGCACTGGCTGCTCTTGCAGAGGACCCAGGTTTAATGCTAGCACCCACATGGCAGCTAACAGCCATCTGTAACCCCAGTTCTAGGGGATCCGATGCCCTCTTTTGACTCTGTCGGCATTGCATGACACAGGTGCACTTAAACACACACATGCAGGCAATACACTCATGCACATAAAATAAAAATAATAAAATATTAAAAAAGAGTGCCTGTATTTGGTGCTTTGTCTTGTGAGTGCACATATGACAGATCAGTACCTACAGGTGTAGTGGGTAGTGTCAGTCAAGTTATACTGATAGACTTCCAGGTTCTCTGCTTCTTCCCATTGAAGCCAAGAGGAAAATTGTGGAGGAACGTGGGGAATGTAGGAGTGCCTTCCATGCATCCCTGATCTGCCAAAGAGGGCAAAGGGTAGTCCAAGAAACAGCAACAACAGCAAAGACCAGTGACCCTTCATCCAGCCCTGTTAGAGTTGGCAAATGTGGTCACTTTTGAGAACAGCTTTAAAAGAATTCATGGTTATGTTCACATCTGCAAGTATAGATCTATGTGATTCAAGATATTATGAGATCTTCCTTACCTCCCTCCTTCCTTCCCTCCTTCCCTCCTTCCCTCCTTCCCTCCTTCCCTCCCTCCCAAAAAAAACCTTCCTTCCTTCCTTCCTTCCTTCCTTCCTTCCTGCTTTCTTGCTCTATTCCACTGTGTATTTATTTTCTTGAGCAGTGTATGTACTTGGGAAATATGAACCTCCATGTTCCCTTAGACTTGGATCAGGACAGCTCACTGACTGAGCTAAGCGCTTTGCTGCAATGGATAGGATGACAATGGTTTTGTACAACCTGATCCTAATTGCAAGTCAGTATTGTACTGTATGGCATTTTTAGATAAGAGAAATTCAAATATAACTTTTGCTAAACTTGCTGACTTAGAAGATAACTTTCATCTAAGATGTGACTTAACTCTAGGTATGTGCATGTAATATATGTACTTGTGTGACTTAGGCCTGAAAATGAGTAGTGAGTTTATAATCTTAATTTTTGGTGGAAAGTGGATTACAAGTTTTAGATGCTGAACTGGAAACAAACTTTTATAACACCTTTTAAAAAATTTTTATTATTATTTTTATTTTATGTGTATGTGTGTATTGCCTGCATGTAGCTAAGTGCACCATTGTCTGCAATGCCCATGGAGGTCAGAAGACATTGTTGGATCCCCTGGGACTGGAGTTACGGACAGTTGTTAGCTGCCATGTGGGTGCTGGGATTCGAACTAGGGATTTCTGCAAGAACAACCAGTGTTCTTAACTGCTGAGCCATCTCTCCAGCCCTGGAAACAAAATTTTAAACTGTCCTCTATAAGTAAAGGAGTTGGCAAATAAAGTCTTTCTGAGGATATAAATGTTCAGATTAACAGTTTATGTGTTTTTATTTTAAAAAAAAATTTATTTTATGTGTATGCGTGTATTGCCTGCATGTAGGTAAGTGCACCCATGTTCTGCAATGCCCGCAGAGGTCAGAAGAGGCTGTTGGATCCCCTGGGACTGGGGTTACAGACAGTTGTTAGCTGCCATGTGGGTGCTGGGATTTCAACTCGGGTCTTCTGCAAGAACAACCGGTGTTCTTAACTGCTGAGCCATCTCTCCAGCCGCTAGTTTATATGTTTTTTAAAAAAGATTAATTTATGGGACTGGAGAGATGACTTAGTGGTTAAGAGCACTGGCTGCTCTTGCAGAGGACCCAGGTTTGATTCCCAGCACCCACATGGTGGCTAACAACCATCCTAACTCCAGTTCCAGGGGATCTGATGCCCTCTTCTGACCTTTGCAGGCATCGCATGACATGGGTGCATTTACACACATGTAGGCAGTACATTCAGATACATAAAATAAAGTGAAAAAAAAAAAGATTTAGTATGTGTGTGTGTGCTTGAGTGTATGTATATGCCTGTGGAGGCCAGAGGAGAATGTCAGATCCTCTGAAACTGGAGTTACAGGTGATTGTGAGCCACTTGACAGGAGTTCTGGGAATTGAACCTTAACTCTATAGGTATGTGCATGTAATATATATATATATATATATATATATATTTGTGTGATTTAGGCCTGGAAATGAGTAGTGAGTTTATAATCTCACATGTAGGATGTGGGGCTGCTGTTTTGCCCCACAAGAGCAGCAAGGACTCAACCACGGAGTCATCTCTTCAGCTCCAGTTTATAGCTTTTTAGTGATCAAAAGGCAAGTTATTTTTTTCTTGGTATTTATTTTATTTCTTTTTAGTGATTCACCATCAAGGAATTGGGGATTCGGAAAGTTGGGAGCCCAAATCATGGCAAATCTACTGAAAATGGTGATGACTGGCTGTTCATGTCCTTTACTTAGCAACTTGGGGTCCTGTAAGACTCTACCTGGGAAGAAGGATTTTTTACGAACATTCCATATTCATCAGGCCCTGTGGTGTAAATCCCCTGTAAAACCAGGTAAAGTCTTATTTCACTCTGTCATTCAAGTCTGTTATGATACATAAAAGGAAAAATCATTCAGCCCTATGGCCTGGTGCTTGTGAGTGATAATTTTAAACAGAAAAAATTGAAAAAAATGAAGTATTTTTTCATATTTTCTAATTACAGAAATTCATGATTGTTCTTGCTAACAGAGAAGATAAAAGAATGGGAAAATGCTTTGTGCTTGGGAGCTTTTTGCTCATAGTAATGATGTCTCCTGGCAGACTTTCTCTTGTTCCTAGAGGGTGCTGGGGAATTATACCTCTGCACAGGAGTTAGGAATTAAGTGTAACAACTGATCTACATTATTAATGTTTCCTGATTTACTAAAAAGCAATGACATTGCAGTTCAGGTCAGAAACCTTAGTCATCCTACATACTTTGAGTAGATCCCTTTCAGTTCTGCCTTGTATCTATGTGTATGCCAGTGTGCACATGTATGCAGTGCCCCTGGAGGCCAGAAGAGCATGCTGGATCTCCTTGAGCTGGAGTTACAAGTGATGCGGGTTCAGTGATGGGAGCTGAACTCTAGTCTTCTGGAGGAGTAGCAAATCCTCTTAACCTCTGAGCCATCTCTGAAATTCCGCCATTACCACTTTATCACTTTGGTCCAAACCAGCATCATCTGCCACTAAAGTAATGCATCAGTCTCCTAAATAGTCTTTGTGCTTTCAGTCTTCACCTCCTATAGTCTGTCCTGCATGTGACAATAAGAATAATATTTTAAAATGGTAAGAGCATATCTCTTTTCTTCAAAATTCACTACTGTCTTTTCAGCTCATACAGTGTAAGAGTGAAGTTTTCCAATGGTCTATTAGGCCTTCCCTGATAGGATCCTCACTTGCTTCTGTTCTAGGGTTCAAGCTCAAAGAAGGAAAAACACAAAGGTGCTTTTTCTTACTAAAATCTTAATTTCACTACCATACTGTGAAGCATCAAAGGTAATTCCAGTCAGTATTTGTATCTTTTCAATAGTTTCTTTTCTTTTTTACTCAATTTTTATAGTTGGCTCCTTCAAAGAATGAGAGATCATACATACTGAATTTGCTTGCTGTGTCTCTGAGGTCTCTTTTGATATATAGATTCTCACTACTTTTTTTTTTTTTAACATTACTGGAAATTGAACCTAGGGCTTCAGACATGCTAGATAAATACTTTACCTCTCAGTTAGATCCTCAGCCTCTTTTCACTACTCTTATCCCTTTTTTTGTTGAAAACTTTAGTTGTTACTGGATAGAATTTCCAGCATTCTAAGTTTGGCTGATTGAGTAACCTTGACTGGTTTTGTTGAATCCATTTCTATTCTTTCTATTTCTTATAATATTTCTTGACTAGAGGCTCAGTCAGGCTTAAGCATATCTTTTTGGAGATAATATCTCATTGGTACCATTGTGTATTATTGCATTATATCAGGAAGATTACTCAGTGAGTTGAGATGTGGTCATTATGATCTGTCTAATGTGAAGTTTCCAGAAGTTCTCTTTTCCCCTGATATTATTCCAGCTGTTTGACTCATGGTCATTAGCTAAATCCAGCATTTTATTAGGGCTGTCAAAAATGGAAAAATTCTATCTTTCCTCATCTGCTAGAATTAAACAAACTTTCTCTATTATTTAGTTACCCTGAAATTATACTGGAAAGGTGGGACAAATGCTCTTTCTCATTATTTACTAGTTTGGCTTATAATTAGTTGCTTCCCTTACGTGTTAATTTCCTCTTCTTGCTGTAACAAATAATCATACACCTAATGACTTCTTACGCTCTGGAAGTCAAAGTCCAAAGTAGATGTCACTGGGCCTCAATCTAAGTGTTGGCAGCTCTGCCTTCCTCCTGGGAATTCTGGGGGAGAACTGTTCCTAGACTCTGCCAGCCTCTGGAAAGTACCTCTCTTTATCAAGCTGTGGCTCTTTATTCTATCTTGAAAGCATCAATGTCCTGGACTATGAGACTCTCTGCCTCCCTTCATCCTCATTTAAGGACTCTGTGATTACATTGCAGCTCTCCAGATAATCCACGGTATGCTTCCTACTGTAGGTCAGCTGATTAGCAGTCTTAATTCTGTGTGCTGTTAAAATTCCTCTCTTGTAATGTATTCATAGGTGTTGGGCATTAAAGCATGGGTATCTTTGGGAAGTTGTTATTCTGCCTGTCACCTTGCATGTTCTTAAACAATGAAATTTAAAAATATTTCTTTTCCTAACAATCAGCATGAACTCATGGGTTATTATATCTTTGGACATGTCTTACTCCATTGCCATAACAATTGTTTTTTGTTTGCTTTTTGTTTTTTGAGACAGTGTCTCCCTGTAGCACCACCTGGCCTGGAATTTACTATGTAGGCCAGGCTGGCCGAAATCTCACAGAGATCTGCCTGCCTCTGCCTCCCAAGTGCTGAACAGTTATTTTTTTGATACTTAAATTACCATATTTGGCCTCTGGAAGCCATTTCAAGTTGACTCCTAAATACTTTTTTCTTTTTGGGGTCTCACTATGTAGCTCTGACTGGTCTGGAACTTACTACGTAGACCAGACTGGCCTTGAACTCACAGAGATCCACCTGACTCTGCCTCCATAGTGCTTGGATTAAAAAGTGTGTACCTTGCCTGGCCCTCCTAAATACTTTTGACACATCTTTGGTAGTTTCCTTGACTTTTGGCATGTAGGGCTAGATTTGAGGTTTCCAGATGAGTGGTAAGCTCAGGTACATGCATATTTGACTTAATTTTACATGTTCTGAATATTTGCCAACTTCCTGTTTTCTTCTCTCCAAGTAGAGAATAAATATTGTTTGCCTTTGGTTCACTGTGAGTTGTTAGTGTATAAGTAGAATGGAATCTAAGACCACCTTCAAATTCAGGTAATTTTAAATTCCCTTACTCTGTCTAAGGTCTCAATAAGTTTCTTTGTATTGATAATTAAAAAAATATTTTATTATTATTTTTATTTTATGTGTATGAGTGTATTGTTTTCACGTAGGTAGGTGCATCTGTGTCGAGCAGTACCCGAGGAGGTCAGAAGAGGGTGTTACAGACTATTGTTAGCAGAAAGTTGTTAGTTGCTATGTGGGTGCTGGGAATCAAACCCAGGTTCTCTGTAAGAGCAGACAGTGCTCTTAACTGCTGAACCATCTCTCCAACCCTGTATTGATAATTTAAAAAAATATTGTATTTATTATTTTTATTTAATGTATGTGAGTGTATTGCCTGCATGCGTGTAAGTACACCTGTGTTGTGCAATGCCCTTGAAGGTCAGAAGAGAGCATCAAATTCTGGAACTGGAGTTATAGACAGTTGTTAGCTGCCATGTGGGTGCTGGAAAGTGAACCTGGGTCCTCTCCAAGAGCAGCCAGTGTTCTTAACTGCTGAGCCATCTCTTCAGCCCCCACTTCTACCTTTGTTAAAGGTCAAGGCAGAAGACTGTAATTCCAGAGGGTTAAGGTGAGAACTTAGCATGCTGTGTGATCTCTCAGTTATTTCTCCCTGAAATAGACTGAGCTTATCATGTACCTTGAAGAGGGACATTTAATTAAACAAAATATTTAGAACGGTCAATAGAGTGGCCATAAAATTTGCCATTTTTCAAAAAAGGTAAATGGATTATGATTATCAATAGTTTTCAGTAGCTACTTGTACGTAGTACATTTTGAAGAACAGAGTGCCCATTTCCATTTCCTGAAATCTGTTATCGCATGTTTTTTAACCTCTTGTTTTTGGTTTTGTTTGTTTTCAGGAATTCCATATAAGCAGTTGACTGTTGGGGTCCCCAAGGAAATTTTCCAAAATGAGAAGCGAGTAGCATTGTCTCCTGCTGGTGTTCAGACCTTGGTCAAGCAGGGTTTTAATGTTGTGGTGGAGTCAGGTGCGGGTGAAGCCTCCAGGTTCTCCGATGATCACTACAGAGCAGCAGGGGCTCAAATCCAAGGCACGAAGGAAGTGCTGGCTTCTGATCTGGTGATCAAAGTAAATACTCATTTTCCTTCTTCCACATAGCATGCCTGCTCTTTGAAGTCTTTTTGTGGATGAATTGCTTTTTCTGGTCGGATAGCTTTCTTAGCATTCTCTTTTTTTTTTTTTTTTTTTTTGCTTGGTTTTTTTTTTTAAATCTTTTTAAAACAGGGTATCCCTGTAGCCCCAGCTGGCCTGGAACTCACTATGTCGACTAGGCTGGCCTTGAGCTCACAGAGATCCGCCTGTCTCTGCCTCCTGAGTGCTGGGACTACAGGCGTGGGCCAACACCACACCTGGCCTCTTTTTTGTTTGTTTTAATTGACAAATAATTGTATTTGTGCAGTGTGATATTTTGACATGAATATTCAGTGTATGTACCATGATCAAATCAGGACAATTAGCATATCCACCATCTTAAACCATGATCAAATCAGGACAATTAGCATATCCACCATCTTAAACATGAATCATTTCAGTTTTTCCCATTCTAAAATCATACCCTTTTTCTTAGAGAAATACTTATATGTTGTGAATATTCTGCATGCTCCAAGAAATGTCATCTGTTTTTAACCATGAGAAGAGAAATGGTGATCTTAATTTTTGTATTTGCTGGGTGGAAATCCCTTTTAGTTGGCTAGGGAAAATTTGTATTACACAGTCCATTTATGTGCAGAATTCTCACAAATGATTATGTAACAACTGGTGGGATGGAAAGAAGGTGTGAAGTCAGCCCTGGAGTTAGTATGCAGTGTCTAGCACCCGAAGGCAGTGATTTACACTGGTGCAGTGTTATTGCTAGAGAAAGCATGACCATTCTAGAGAATGGCAGGATTGGGTGGAGTGACCAGTAGGCTATCTGACTAAAAGAAGGTCTTAAGGTACTTCACAGAGAAAATTTATATGCTAAAGAACTTCATAATTAAATATGAAGTAAAAATCACATAAATGATTGTATTAAGAGTTTAGCACAGATAACTAGATCTAAGCATTACATTTAAATTATTAAATATCCTGCAATTAATGCAAGCATGGAAGTAGGGATGATAAAAATGTGATTACCAGATTAAAATAAACTTAGACTCATTTTCTTTTAGAAAAACAAGATTTTTTTCTTCATTAATCACTAAGAAGAATTAATCACAGAGTTATATTCCCCTCTCCAAGTCTTCTGCATAATGTGATGTTATTATTTTTCCCTAGGCTGGAGCTTGAACCCAGGCCCCGAAGCATGCTATGCATGAACTCTACCACTAAGTGACCCGATAGCATCAGAGATGGTGCTTTTTGTAGTATATGGGAAATCAATTTTGGCTATACAAAATTATTTGCAAGATTTATTGTATAGAGATAAATTATGATTTAGCTACAGATTTTTAAAAGTTTTAGGTGATATGACTCAATATCTAGTCAAAGTACTTATGGAAATTAAAAAAAAATAAGTACAACTCATTCCAGAAATGTCTTAGGGGACAGACTTTTTCGTGATGGCTCCAAAAAAGGGGGAAGTGCTAGAGAGATAGCTCGGCAGTTAAGAGCAGTGACTGCTCTTATAGAGGGCCTGGGTTTTGTTCTCAGCACCCACACGATGGCTAACGATTATCCTTACCTCTAGTCCAGGGATCTGATGCCATTTTCTGGCTGCCTCAGGCATTACACAACATGGGTACACTTACATGCAGGCGAAACACTCATACACACAAAATAAAAATAATAAAATACTTTTTAGGTAGGCAGAGGGGTATTTAGGACCTACATAAATTTTGGGAATATTCTGTGTTTTTTTAAGGAATACAGAGTGTATGTACAAGTTAAAGGTATGTTGAGAAATTTGTAATGTAAAAACACATATAACTTCATACTAGCATTAATAAACTATTTGACCTTGGGCATCTCTCTTGAATCAAGGCTATTATTATCCGGAGGAATACATTCCAGGGAGCGTTCAGTTGGTCTGACTGACGTGGGAGCAGTCTTAGCTGAACATTTGATAAGGGTCAGTAGAATCAACTCAGAGCTGTCCTCTTATTTTTCTTAACCTCTGATATAGATTTTTATGGATGGAAAAATAGACCTTGTGAAAGTTTTTATTTTTCAATATTGTGTGTGTGTGTGTGTGTGTGTGTGTGTGTGTGTGTGTGTAGTGCGTGTTTTGCTGACCTTGCACATGCCAGGTTTGCTCTACCACTGAACCAGATCTCCAGCCTGAAGAATCTTAAAGTTCCAGGCCTAGATTCACATGCATAACCAGCTCAACACCTGAAACAGGAACAATAGGGAAAAGTGTCTTAGGGAAATTGAGATGAAATGCTGTGCTAAGAAGTGAGAGAACCAGTGTTTTGTTTGTATTTTGTGTTTTGTATATTGTGTTTATTTGTCCAAACATAGTGTTTACTACAGTTTGGAAACTAATGAAATATGAAACTTCTTAGCATGAGAGACTATACTGAAGCTAGTTTTAGCTTAGATTCTGTAGAGCTACTAGTTTGAATTATATTCATTTCTAGTCATCTGGAATTTTAAGGTGATGTAAATCTATGCCATGGGGTCTTTACTTGCCAACATTCTTAATGTCTGTCTACCTGAAATACACATTTGCCAAAATTAGCAAGGATTGAGTCTTTGAATATAAAACTTCCTATCTTTTTTTTTTTTTCCCCAGTGTCTCTTAATTTTTAACAGAGTAATAAGCTTTGGGAGACCAGGTTTCTTATAAAGTCTTCATACTATTTACTGCTCCACAGGTAATTGTTAAACCTGACCTGGTGCTGCATATTTCCCAATGTGTACTATTTACTCATGACAGTTCCCAGGTCATTAGTCAGACAGTAGGCGATATTCATCTTTGTGTTCTTTGCCTTGCTTAAGAATTCAGGCAGACATTTATTGATGGAAGTTTGACTTCAGCAGTATTGTTTAAATAATGGTGCCTTATCTAAATTGTCCTGTTTACTTGAAAATATGATGAAGGTATTTATAATTTTAATCCTTGATTTGGTTTTCTTTTCAGGTGCGTGCCCCCATGAGTAATCCAGCATTAGCTGCTCATGAAGCTGACTTTTTAAAGCCATCAGGAACACTGATTAGCTTTATTTACCCAGCCCAAAATCCAGACTTGCTAAGTAAACTTTCTGAAAGAAAAACTACCGTTCTGGCGATGGATCAGGTTCCAAGAGTCACAATTGCTCAGGGATATGATGCTCTAAGCTCCATGGCCAACATTTCTGGGTAGGTTCATTCTTTCCCATTTCGGTTGAACAAAGGCACATTGATGATACACAAACATTCACATAGTAGGGCTTTTCTCTCCAAATACTTTTGCCTTGTGATAATTGTTGTAGATTGTAGCTTTTTACACTGAAATTATTTTTGTGATTCATTTTTTCTTTCGCCCTAATTATATAGGAAATGAACTCTACATGTCTTTTAAATCTTTATAGATAGAAGTGAAACAGTATTTGCATTTACCCAAGGAAATAACTATCAGATTGTTTGTATGAGGAAATTTTATTTTTATATGTATATATCTATATGTTAGGTTGAAATAGTTGATTTTATAGGTAAAAAATGTTTGAATACTGTCAGGTACATGTGGTTTAATGTAATACAGGTTAAGTATCCCTAAATATTGGAACCAGATGTGTTTCAGATTTCAGGCTTTCAGATTTTAGAATATTCACATAGATATAATGAAGTATCTTGGGCATGAGACTCAAGTCTACACATGAAATTGATTTGCTTCATATACTCTTTATACACAAATAAATGATACACGAAATAAAGTTTGTATATTTCAGCTGGAGGGTGTAGGAGGGTTTTTTCCTCTCGGAGATTTTGAATATACTGTGTTGGGCACCTGGATTTTAACTGTGACCCATCCCATGAGATTAGCTGTGGATTTTTTCCATCTGTAATATGTCAGTGCTTGGTTTGGAACATTTCTGGTTTAGGATCTTAATA